TAACATAATAAAATAAATAAATAAATAAATAAACAAAAATTAAAAAAAAAATGTGAAACAGGTGCCTGGGTGGCTCAGTCAGTTGAGCATCCACATCCAATTCTTGGATTCAGCTCAGGTCATGATCTCGGGGTTGTGGGATCAAACCCCACATCAGGCTCTGTGCTGGGCGTGGAGCCTGCTTAAGATTCACTCTCTCCCTCTCTAAAAAATTAAGATGTGAAACATTTTGCCATAGAAACAATAGTTTAAGTGGGCACTGGGTTTCTATACCCCTACAATTCTTACTTATCCCGCATATAACTAGAACATGGTATAAATAGCCAGAACTTTAGTCCTGGATCTTGGGAGCAGTGACAAAAGCTTTTGAGATAAAAAGGAAGGGAAAAAAATAGTTATACCAAGCCCATGGCTTAGGTAAACTATGTTTTCCACCCTCCTTAGTGTATCTAACATTACCTCCTTTCTCCCTCTTTCAGACAAAATTCCTCTTTATTGGTCTGGATTAAGTAGTGGGGCTATTGTCCATGGGCCACTGGTGCGTTTGAAGTTCGTCATGGCATACAGAGCATTGAACATTTGATTTGCTTTATTTGTGAAGCAGACATTATTATCCCCATTTTACTCCTATGGGGAGGCCCATCCAGAAAAGTTAAATGATATGAGTGACTTGCTTCATGTCCAGTGGCTCATAAGCGGTAGAGCCAGACCCTCTCTGTTGCATCCACCAAGTGAAGTAACACATCCTGTAGGTGTTTTTTTTTTTTTTAATCCTTAAATTTCAGATTACTCAAGTATTCCTTACTCTGAGGCTTCAGAAGAAAGAATATTCAAAGAAGTCTAATTGTTCGGTGATTATTTTCTGGGTTCTTGCAAATTTTTTAAGCTCCCAGAAAATGTATGCACATTTTTGTGAGCCTTTTTCTAGAGAGTATAAAATAGCTCCTAACAGATGTTCAAAGTCTGTAAACCAAAAGAACCTCTGCTTTGCTTTATTTCTATATCATCTTAATAGCAGAATACTACTTACTTTATAGGTTTTAGAAGCATCTTATTCTATATTTCATGTTGTAAAGTGTATGCGTGTGGGACTTTTATATTGGCTAGGAGTCAGTTTTAATGATTGGATGTTCCATCTTTACTCATATGTTTTGTGTTTTCTGAACTTTAAAAAACAGGAACACAGCCTATTGGTTCCCTAGGCTCAATCTCTCCTAGTAGTTATGGAAGCGTGAAAGATTTGTGCCCTGCAAAGTTTGGCTTCAAACATTTTCTTCATCTTATTCCTAATGAAGCAACTATCTGCAGCTTGCTGCTCTGCAGCAGAAACGACACTGCTTGGAATGAGCTGAAGGTAGGTCACAGACTCTGAATTCCATTATTTAGGGGCTGAGGCCGCAGTTAAATAGACACAATAGAATTTGTGTGAGCTATGTATTTTGTTTTTCATAACTTTCCCAGGTGATTTAGAAAGCAAAAACAATAAAACTGACAGAATTAAAGTTCCAAGTAAGCAGATTTACTTGCCTGTGATATTACAGTAGACTCGGCGAGCACTACCAGTTATTTCTGGTACTTACATGCAATCTAAAAGTCCTTGACATGTGAACTTTTCTTAGCAATTAACTTGAACTGTGTACTCTTTGATGCTAATGTGTATGAATAATTCACTGAGAAAAATGAATTCCCCAGCCATACCCATCATCCACCTCTTGATAGAGTTTGTCTTCTACCAGCAATAACACGTGCAACTTATTTAAGAGAAGTGATAACCTATGGTATTGGTCACGAACTTAAAGATTATATATACTCAAGGATATATCCTTGATAAATATGAAAGGTCTCTGTGTTTTTCTTTTTATTACTACTGGGTTGTAGCTGTTACTACTTCCATAGCAACTTGCAAGAAATTCTATAGCATGTATACAGCTAATTTATTTAGACTGAAATAATTTTTTTTAGTAGAAATACTAGCAAACCTTGCTGACCCAGTTATTTTGAGGCCATCCATTTGTGAATCTCAGTTTGAAGAGCTAAGTGCATATGAAAGGTGATATTAATCTGGTCCCTGGAAACAAACATCTGGCTAAAATATTTTTCTTTAATCTCTAATCTTTATTGTTCGAAAATGTATTCATTACATTACAACCTTGGCAACACAAGCTTTGTTCTTTTGCAATTAAAATCCAGCTCTTTGAGTCTAGTATCTAAGTTCCCTTGAAAACATGGTTATATTTCTTTGTGAATCTCATGTCAATGTCTGATTCTGATGATTCGCCTCTTTTTTAGCTCACATGTCAAACCGCACTGCATGTTCTGCAGTTGACAATCAAGGAACCAAGTGTTTTGTTGGGAGGTGGCTGTACTGAAACTCATTTGGCAGCATATATCAGACACAAGGTAGGTTAGATGGACCTGCTCAGATTATCTGAATTCTCAGCGACATTTGTTTTACGAGATAATAAACCAAACCAGGGTAACATGACCCTGGAGCCTTTAATGCTTAATTTCTCAGTAGTCTAACTCAGATTTTGTATTTGAAAACCCTTGAGGAAAATAACAGTTGCAAATATAAGGTAATATCTTTATCACCATGATTATTATTAATCCATCCTTTCACCAAATGATCACATTCTTTGAGTATTGTTGAAATATTGCATATTGAAATGAGCATTCTGTTAATGGAAGTTGTATTAGAGATTTCAACTGCTGTGGTACGATCATAATTGATAGTCATAATGAAAGTGTTAAGATTCGGGCGCCTGGGTGGCTCAGTCGTTAAGCGTCTGCCTTTGGCTCAGGTCATGATCCCAGGGTCCTGGGATCGAGTCCCACATCGGGCTCCCTGCTCGGCAGGAAGCCTGCTTCTCCCTCTCCCACTCCCCCTGCTTGTGTTCCTGCTCTCGCTATCTCTCTCTCTGTCAAATAAATAAATAAAATCTTGAAAAAAAAAAAAAAAGAAAGTGTTAAGTTTCTACAGAATACTTCAGTACCTTCTGGACTATCAAGAAAAGACTTAGTTTCATTTAATAATGCATTCCAAGTATTAGATTCTATTATAATTTTTAAATTGGTATCTATTTATAAGTTCTATCAAATAGAATGTTTTTTTATTCATTTAGGAAACTATATTCCTGATAATAGATAAATTTAGTGCATTATAGTTCTGATTATTTCATAAATACTGACCTATTTTCTTTGAAAATGGATACAAAAAAGTATGTGTTTTCCAGATATTTGCAATTGATTCTTTGGTTAGTCAGGAGTGTTATCAAGAGACTGAAGGGAGTGCCTGAGTGGCTCAGTCAGTTGAGCATCTGACTCTTCACTTCAGCGCAGGTCTTGATCTCAGAGTTGGGAGTTCAAGCCCTGCATTGAACTTTAAAAATGAAAGAGAGAGAGAGACTGCAGAGCTTCCAGTGGCTGACTAGGATTAGAGAAAGAGTAAATGTTTTTTTTACAGATATGCCCCACCCTTTTTCCCAAAATGATTTAAAATCTATTTGATGATAAAGCACATTCATGAAAAGTTATCAGAATATACATTCTGAAAAACAAAATCAGTGCCCATGTATTGATGACAATAATATAGTCTGCAAATGGAATTAAGTAAACTGGAAAAGTTTTTTGGAGGAGGAAGGTTTTATGAGTAGGATTTTGAAGAAACAATATAGCATTGAAAATATGGGAAAAGAACAGGCAGCATAGATGGTCTCATCTGGTTCACACCTCCTGGGCAGAAAAAAAAAAGCAGCTACTGCTTTGGAATAGTTTGGATATGGGTTTTAACTATCATTCGGTTATTAGCTTGCTAATATATTATTTTTCTATAGTGAAATTGCTAGGAGAAACTTTTTTATTTTTATTTATTTATAAATATTCCATTTATTTGGGAGAGAGAGAGAACACAGAGGGAGAAGGAGACTCCCCACTGAGCAAAGAGCCCTATGTGGGGCTCGATCCCAGGACCCTGAGATCATGACCTGAGCCGAAGGCAGACATTTTACTAACTGAGCCACCCAGGCGCCCCTAGGAGAAACTTTTTTAGAATGGTGGAACCAAAAAAAAAGTTTAAAATTATATTACCTTTTCATTAATTTAAAGAAATTACTTATTTTTAAAACATTGCTGTGAAAATTACACATGTCCCTAAATGGCTTTTGTCTTAATAATTATGTGTGTTCTCATTTTAAACAAATCTCAGACACTTTGCCAGCTATAAATAAGTACTGTATTTGGACATTAGCCTTCAGGAACCTCCTCCTGTGTGTATAAAAACCTGTGATATATGCATTATGCCTTGTCCATCAAATATTGAGGAGGCACAACTGGGCAGTCATTCAGAGTAAGCTGATGGGGTTTATTCTGATTCATTCATTCTGATAACATGACTAGCATATATTTATACTATAACCAACCCAATTAAGGGATAATAGCCTGGCCAGCTGACCCATATTTGCCCATTAGCATTGTGCTGAACCCCTAAGGAAATTGAACATAAATAGTAACATTATGATAAGCATCTGATCAAGTATTTTATCTTTAAGAAACATTTTTATAATATTGCTCTGTATGTGTTTTCAATGGTTTTATTACTCTTTAGACTTGTAACGAGCCAGAAAGCATTCTCAAAGATGATGGATGTACTCAAACAGAACTTCAATTAATCACTGAAGCATTCTGCAGTGCATTAGAATCTGTTGCTGGCTCTTTAGAACATGATGGAGGTGAAGTTCTTACTGACATGAAGTATGGACACTTTTGGTCCGCTCAGGCAGAGTCTCCCTCTGTTGTTAAGTGGCCAGATTTGCTTTCAAGATGTGGCTGTGGACTATACAATAGCCAGGAAGAACTCCACTGGTCTTTCTTGAAGACTACTCGGCATCCCTTTGCACCACAAACTTGCCTTCCACATGAAGCTACGGGCTCAGCCAACAACCTGACCTTGGACTGTTTTACTGCTAAGCTTAGTGGCCTGCAGGTGGCTGTGGAGACAGCCAATTTGATTTTGGATCTTTCATGTATCATTGAAGATAAAAACTGATAGCATAGCATATTTATGTTACAAACAAACAAACAAAAAACCTAGTCAGGTGTCAGTTAAGAAAAATATTGAGTGTATTTTTTTCTCTCCCAAAGGCCTGTTCTGCATATTTGGATAGATTATTCATAAAATTATAGAGGTACTTATATAATGGGGAAAAGTCTGATTTTTAAATAGAAATACCATAGAATATGAAAACTATGAAGCATTATTATTAAAGGTATTATAGTTATCTTAGGGTTTCCACAGATGCCACTGTGTATTGTTCTAAATTTTTGTTATTATTTTGACATCATTAAAGAATATACAGAAATAAAAAAAATTTCCTAACCTATGCTCTGGTTTGGATATGCTTATTATAGATACTTTTTAGTAGTATTTATACATGTTTAGATTCTAAAGTATCACAAACCACCCAACATATATTGCTCAATTAAGAGAAGTACTCAAACTGCACATTTAGTAAAATTTTGATGTTCTTTACATGAGGTACTATCATTCAGGGCTTAAGTAACTGATGTCGAACCTGACCTACCTACAATTTCTAGTTTGTATCACAGTTCTTCATTTGTGTTATTTCAAAGAAATGTGTGATTAGGGGAAAAAATTACTTATGTAGTAACTAAGCGGTATAGAGAAAAGAAGTGGAAAAGTTATTTCTCTAGTTCACTCAGTAGTGTAAAGAAGAAGCCAGAACAGCTCTCATATTCAAAGTAGAGACTGATGTTTCACCAAGGAATGTAATTTGAATGTTATGCAAATGCAATCAATGTATTGATAAATTGAAGAAGAAATACAAAATGCAGCTTGAGGAATAAGTATGGAGCTATAGCAGATGCTGTATTAAACCTTAGGAAAACATTTTGAAAATTTTTGGAAAATTAAATAAGGTAAGAGTCAGTGATCAGATCTATAGCCATGATAGAAGGAGACAGAATTTTTAAGCAATTTCTTCCAATATTCTTGTAATGCAAAGCAATTTTTACCCTGAGCCAAAGAAAAAAATGCAATATAAACTCACAGGAATGCACTATATATTGAAAACTCAGCTGCACCTCATGCTTCATAAAATACTGCTCTTAAATTTTACTTCTTTTATTATTAGAGTCAAATAGAAGGGCAGTGTGGTAGGCAGCCTTTAAGATGGCCACCAGTGACCCCTCCCACTCCTGGTTTTCACAACTTGCACAATCCCCTCCCCTTGTGTGTGGGCTAGATGTAGGGACTCCTCTGAGTCTCCATTTTCCCCTTGTGAACAGGAATGTCTTATTGCAGTTCTCCTATGCCTGCTTTATTATTGTATGTTGGGAGTGGACTTGTCCCATTAGCTTCTTGGGTCTACAGATGGAGAGGAGTTCCAGAAGCTGTACTTAAAGAATTACACCTGAGGAGTTTCACCCACCCTGACCTGATTTCAGTGATAAGATTCTGGACTTGAAGCTGATATTGTAATGCAGTGAGACTTTTGGGAGTCTGGGAAATATGTGAATGTATTTTGCATGTGATGGGCAGCCTCTAAGATGGCTCCCTGATCTCACTTCCTGGTAGTGCACCCTTACGGTGTGCATGGGACATAATGACTAGCTTTTAATGAGTATACAGCAGAAGTGACAGGACGTCATGTTGTAAAAAGATGGGCTTCTCTCGATCTCACTTGCTCACCCTGATGGAGGCCACCTGCCAGGTTGGAAACCACCTATTGAGAGGCCCACATGGCAAGAGACTGTGAAAGGCTTCCAGCCAGCAGCCCACAAGGAGCTGAATCCTACTGATAACCACAAGAGTGTTTGTAGAAGCATATCCTCCCTAGTGAAAGCCTCAACAGTAGCCCCTGCCATGGCAGCCACTCAAGAGGCCCTGAAGGAGAGAACCCAGATTGATTCCTGACCCACAGAATCTGTGAGATAATAAATCTTAAATCAAGTTTTGGGTGTAATTTGTTATGCAGCAATAGACATAATAAAGGCAGGAGCAAATGCTTCTTTATAATTACATACTGAAAACTTGGTCACACAATGGAAAAAAGCATTCTGGATGCCATGCCTCTGCATTTCCACCACCCCTCCAAACATAAAGGCAGTGTTCTTTATCATACACGTTCCCAGTGGGGTTTTTACGTTCATTTACGAAAGCATGTCACATGGGTGGCTCAGTTAAGTATCCAACTCTTGGTTTCAGCTCAGGTCATGATCTCACAGTTGTGAGAGAGGCTCTGTGCTCAGTGCTGAGTCAGCTTCAGATTCTCTCTCCCTCTCCCTCGCTCTCCTCCCAAATAAATAAATCAGAAAGAAAAAAGGAAGGAAGGAAGGAAGGTAGAAGAAAAAAGAAAGAAAGAGAAAGAGGGAGGGAGGGAAGGAAAGAAGGGAAGGAAGGGAGGAAGTCAGTCAGATGGAAATATGAGAATTCTCCTGGGTTTCTTTGGCCTTCTATTGCATTTCCAAGTTACTCTACAAAGAGATGCCACGGTGAATCTCTCTAGTTGACCTTAGAGGTTAAGAACTTCTACTTCCCATGATAGCCTTAGTTCTGTCATTTTTGGCTTTGCCATAAAATTCAGTTACATACCTTGGTGAAACATCAGGGCTCTCATTTTTTAATATGTCATAAATTTGTTGAAATATTCTCATAAAGTCATTTCCTAAAGTTGTGTACAATCCTTAGTAGAAAATACTGTAAATAATTAAAAGAAAAAATCCACTTCCTTAATAGTTCAAGGAAATCATCATTCAAACTCAGATGGTAAAATATGAGATGAAAATTCTTTTAAGATTTTTTAAGATTTTTTTAAGATTTTTTTATTTATTTAGAGAGAGCATGAGTGAGCAGGGGAGGCGGAGAAGGAGAGAATCTCAAGCAGACTCCCCATTGAGCGTGGAGCTGACACGGGGCTGAATCCCACGACCCTGAGACCATGAACCGAGCCAAAATCAAGAGTCGGGCACTTAACCAACTGAGCCACCCAGGCACCCCGAGATGAAAATTCTTGATGAAAATAATTTCAGAGGAACTCATTTTGACAGAAATAAATGAAAAGAAAAAACAGCAACTAAGTTAAGCCTCAGGCACTGTTGCGTGACTTAAAATAAAATTGAGGTCTGAATATTGCATTACGAGGTTCCTCAGGAGACAGAACAGGAAACCCTGATAGTTACAGAAAAGGAAAGGGAGAATAATGCACAAGAGCATGAAGTCAGTGACAGCTGCTCGCTTTTATGGGACTTACAGGATGGGCAGCATTCAAGTTTATTGAGCCATAAGTGTCCAACAGGATTAGCATCTTATTAATCAAAAGAGGTTAGGATTTCAGCAGCAAGGAAAACATTGGAAAACTAAAGCAAATGAAAAGAGTCTTTCAAGTCAAAATACTTATTTGGTCTTATAAACACCCCACTCCTTAATTCTTCCATTTGTACTATATTTAAAAATCTTTACATATTAGATATTTTAAATCAGCCATAACAGTGAAGTATTTTCCCCCGGGGTATTTAAATTACATATTATTAGTATCTTTTATTATCATAGTATCCTTGAGCTCATTTAGTTTGTATAATCAAAGCTAGTTAGGCATTCACATGATAGTAAACTTAAGTACCTCTGTAAGATCCATCATATCCTGTATTCATCACACTGGTGAACAGTTCTTTGGATAACTTTAAAATAAAACAATATTGTTTACAGTCACATAAACTATGCAGGTTATTATGTAAGAGCATCATGTACAAAAATCACTTATATAATTAATACAGGCCCTGTCAAACATCCAATTAGGTTATTCATTCCTTTCTGAGAATCTTGGGGGAATAGTCAAGGAGACAAAACATCTCTTACAGGGTCCTATTTCAGCTGTTTAAATAAATCTGCCTCTTAATCTGAAGGAAAAGGCAAGTTTGAACATCTGACATCTTTATAATTTTTTTTATCATGTATTTAAATGTTTCCACTTAGTACCTATGGCATAATCCTTGGAAATTTTTGCCCCTTACCTACAAAATTTGAATTCAAATGTATCTAAACCCAATGTCAGCTTGTATCTTTAGATTACAAGAAAATTTATATACTTTGTTATTAAGAATATAGTAATACTCACAAAACAGGGTGCAGCCCCTGAAAACGACTCCTATATATAGATCAATCCTTTTGCTGGAGAGATAATTAGTAGACTAGGTGCACTAAAAACAGTGCCATGCCATTACCTGCAATAAATTGTGACTTTAGAGGGAAATGAAGTAACTTGACAATTTCCTATTAAAAAATCACACTGAGGGTGCCTGGGTGGCACAGTTGGTTAAGCGTCTGCCTTCGGCTCAGGTCATGATCTCAGGGTCCTGGGATCCAGCCCCGCATCAGGCTCCTTGCTCAGCGGGGAGCCTGCTTCTCCCTCTGCCTCTGCTTCTCCCTCTCCCCTCCCCCTGCTGGTGCTTTCTCTGTCTCTGTCTCTGTCAAATAAATAAGTAAAAATCTTAAAAAGAAAGAAAGAACTCACACTGAGAAAATATTTATAATGAACATCCTATTTTAGCCCTATAGGTTTTGTTTGAAGTATTATGATTTCACTTTGAGAAGTATTAATTGACATCTTTTTGTTTGCCAGACACAATAGTCAGTGGTATTAGAGGTTAAAAAAAAGATTTGTTCACAGTCCCCTGACCTCAAGGAGCTGATCACCTAGCCAGTGAGACTTTTTTTTTTTATATTTTTCTTTCTTAAAAAGCAATTGCATAAAATTATTTCATAATCATTCAAACCATTCATAAACATTATGTGGTAATAGAAAATTAACAAAGTATGAAAGACACACACACAAGGAAAATAAAGTCCAGTGTAGTCCTACTACCCAGAAAGAACCACTGTTTACATTTTATGTGCATCTTTTCATTTGTTTTCTGTATATACTTTTCCAAAATGTGATCACATAGTATGTTGTTTTATAATCTGTTCCTTTTACCTAATATGTTATGAACATCATAAACATGTACAATCACTACATATTCTACTACTGCAGCATTTTTAATTCGTAAGGAAATTTCCATTGTAGAGATTCTACCATAATTTAGTCAATGAGCTTTTATTAGTATACTTTTAGGCTGTTTTTAATTTTTGTACCAATATAAGCAAAACCTCAGTGAACATCTTATATATATCCTTTTCCCATATCCTGATTATTTCCTCAGGATAAATAAATAGAATTAAGATTTCTGGGCCCAAGTATTTATTTGAAATGGAAAGACCATTAATGTACATTGTCTTAATTTTTAAGTCTTCCAGAAATGTTGCATCAATATACTCTGACCACAGTGTGTGGAAGTGCTCATTCTCCTGAACTTTGGCCAAC